TATTTGTTTCAGTTAGGTCATTCAATCAAATCTAGTAATGAATTTTACAAATGTGAGAGATGCAAATCTTTCTATTTGTTTGAGTTAGGGCATTCAATCAAATCTAATAATGAATTTGACAAATGTGAGAGATTTGATCTTACATGTTCAGGTGTATGATTTGACACACACTGGATTTGAAATTTATATTCTCATCATTCAGGCTCATTTGTGGCATACACGGTATTGTAAATCCAATACTTGAAATCTAAGAATTAGATCAATTAGAGCCTAGTTCTCATTGGTTGTTTCTTCTCTCTTCTTCAATTTGTAGTTTTTCCTATTCCAAATACGCATGACAAAAATTCCTGTAAATATATGTGGATAACCTTGGAGATTCGCATCTTTAAAATTCAATCTGACGAATGCTAATAACACTCCCACTCAAACCAACCTTGTATGCTCATTTAAAATATTTAAATATAATAAAAGATATGGTTTATCTAGAAATTTTCTTTCTCTTCATCACTCAAATTTAAAGTCATTTTTTCAGTATTTAATGTTGCTTATAGTATTATGTGTGGTTTGTTTATTATGTTTTCTGGTTCAGTACGTACCGCTGATTTAGGGTTGGCATCTCACTATATCTTGCATACTTGTTCTTGTTGAAACAGTGCAGCAGTCGGAGTGGTCCAATCCTTTTGTAGGTATTGGGACGCTACTCGTCCCAGCGACTACCCACAATTCATGTAATTATTGTAGTAATTTTGGAAGCCTGCAAACCTGCAAAAGAGAAACCTTTGGGAACAATCCATCCAAAATATCGCAAAGAAGATATATATAGATACTTCTGTTAAGATGCGATTAATTACGACACAAATATCCAGCTTAAGTAAAATGATAGATGAAGACAAAAGAAGACTTGGAAAGAGACTCTAAAGAAAAAACATGGAGTATTTGGAGCTAACGAAAGACTTGACATAAAACCAAGCGCAGTAGCATTCTAAGATTTATATAGCCGACCTCACTTAGTGGAATAAAACTTTGTTGTTGTAAGTAAACAGGGATCCAACTTTTTCTTCTCAATATAGTTAAAGGTAATTCTATATAATCCCAAATATGGGTAATTATCGAAAGATCTAGATTACATTTATTAGATAAGCCGAGTGTTTTTTCAAACTAGAGTTTGTGTCCTTTCAAATTATAGAACTGAAATTATGTGACAGCGTACGTCGTCAAGAAAAATATGAAATTGAAATTGAGCATAGGCGTGTTTGTTAAAGTTAATTCAATGCAATGTTTCAAAAATTCCCACCAATTTCTGAGTGGAAGTGCTAGTCTAGAACCTTATCCAGATCTTCTTAATTGGTCAGCGTTGTTTCTTATTCTTCAAGTTAATGATCGGGATGAATTCTGTGTGTTTTTGGAGTGATATGACCTATTCACGAGTGACTTGTAAAGAGAAAGTCACAAAGTATATTTCAACTCAAACGTATTAAAATTAGAGTGATTTCGAAAGGTTCATAACCTACTAGTAGTCGGACCAGTGAATGTGTGATGGATATATATATTGTTTTCTTAAAGTGTGTGTAGAGAAAACGGGATTCGTAATTGATTAAATAAATTACGTTGAGTGGCATAAGAAGATTCCGCATCGCTTGGACAAGGAGGGGCGACATTGGTTCAATCAGAAAACATTATGGATGTTACAGATTCCGCTCAGGTTGATGCATACGCTTGGATGAAAGATCTTTGAGCGCGAATCATCATGTTGGATAATATGAATTTGGAATGCGGAGAGTAACCTAATTTATTTATAAGTTCATGTAAGATTCCTCTTTTTCATTAATGTGGGATTCTTCCTTAACATGTCATTTTTCGTGTGACGAAATTTTCAAAGCCTAGCACGTAGACAACAAACAGGGTGATGGGGAACACGTGTGGCCATTAGGCTTCCCACGCGTGACAACCTGTTTTGATACCATGAAAAAAATTGAGGTTCCATCATAAAACCAATTGACAATCTGGGAAGTTGCACAACTTACTTATAAACCCATCCAAGGTCTCTCCTTGGAAGTTCATTCTTTACACACTATGTGAAATACATGATGGCTAGACAAATTAACTACTCTATAGAGATACTTTATATAGGAATAAAGTCACAAAAATTTCTGATTCCAACTTGAGCCAACTATATGTAGGAATAAACTCCACCTTGTACTAAGTTATAATTTTTCTAGATCCCGTATTAAGAAAACTCACCTCCATATAGTGATAACTGATAATTGTCAATAAGCATATAATATACAATGTCACAAACATAAGTTTAAGATGATCTAAAATATTTCTCTATAATTGATTGAGACAATTTTTGATATTTTAGAGTTAATATATACAATACATACCTTTGAGCCTACTGGTACTTAATATTTCTAGCTTCATAAGCTTGTTTATAGAGAAAAATTAAAGAGTGCACTACATACATACATGCACTAGATTTTAAAAATTAGATGTCTTTCTTTTTTTTAATGTAACATCTTAAAAATTGACGTGTTCCACTAGTAGTTCTTTTGATTCTATACAATTTTCATTAAGGATTTACTAAGTCAAAAAAAAAAAAAAAAGAGCTACATCTCTATTAAAGTATTAAGTAACAATCTCCTCAAAGTTATAATTAGTTTGATCCCAACATTATGACCATATAAGGTTTTACTATATCAGATGAATACCTTACACACTCTAATCCAACCTATTGAGATATAGAAAATAATAAAAAAAGATATGAAGAAGATTGATAACAAACTTAGTGAAGAGTAAAACCTGCCGGTTATTAGGTCTTTGGCAACTATACCAGAAGGTTGGAGGCAGATGACACTCCATGAAAAATATTAAGACTTTTGATGATGTTCTTAGCCTTGCTATGAAATCTGAGAAAAAGGCTTATGATAAGTTTGTGAGAGCTCAGAGTGGCAAGCTTGATGTGGTTAAATGAAAAAAGTGGGACTAAACGACGCTCTTTGAAGCACGGCACGAGTATGGGATGGACCAGAGCCACCTCAAATGAATCAATTGAGGCTTATTTGTTTCTTGGGTCTTTGTTGGCAATTGGCCTTTGTAAATAGGGTTTGAACCCCAGTTTCTTTTTCTTTTGCCCTTTTTCTGTCAAATTGAACCCCACGTTTTATTAATGATGCTTCTTAACGGGAAAAATAACCTATCATTTATATAGAATATACTATAAGGTTGATTTAAATGGATCTTTTAGTTTAAATCCCAATTCCAAAAAAAAAAAAAATTAGCTAAAATATTATGTTTTTAGATTAGGTACCAATAAAAAAGTCAACAAAAACAATTCTACAAATACTACTATAATTCAATATATTACATGATTGTGACTGAATTCTACAACGTTTTTCAACCGGCCAACTTTTCCTGCGACTGGTTGATCAAATTTTCTAACGACCTGATGATCAATTTTTTCGGTCTCAATGTCACTGTCCAACACTGACCTTCAAAAATCCATGTTAACTAAGGAATTTTCTGATAAGTTCTCTAATAAAGTTATTGTGCATATATATAAAAAACAATACTCACACAGCAAAACATTCGTGAAAATGAAAAAATGTCACATATGACGGTGACCGGCAACTATTTCAGGCACTTTCACCGGTTGCATGTGGTCATGTGCAGTGGGGATAAAAAGATAAATGTCCCTATGCTTATAAATGTATTTGCTCACAATTTGTGGCTTAATTCAAACAGAATGAGAAGGTATTGGTAGTTTTCTTTAAAGTTGATATTTTTTTCTTAAAATCTTTATTAAAATTGGTATTTAATCTAGATTTTCTTTAGTTTAAATAAATATTATTCATCCATGCAATGATTTGAAGAACAAAGAAATAAAGAAAACAAATGGATCAAATGAAGAATTTCTTTTCATTGTAACCGATAGATTTTAGATTTGAATTTCGAGAATAACGAGTTCGTAATTATTTTATTTCTTAACTCCCTTAGTTTAAATATAGGGAAATTTAACGAAAAGCTCCCGGTACTGTTCTATTTAACGAAAAACCACATTTTTACACTAAAAAGTCAATTCTGATACTATTCACTTTACCATTTATTTTGTTATTGTTATTAAAATTTAAAGTTTTCAGGCCATTTTCATTAGTTTTCCTTTAAATATATCGTTGTATAACTATAATATATATGTGTGTGTGTGTAACTATAACATTTTTACATGTGTGTGTGTGTGTATCTCGTTGTATTACAATAATATATGTGTGTTATTAACTGTAACATTTTTATCTTATACTGTAGCGAGGTTTGTAACCAAGTAACCGTATATTCTTTGTTGCAGGTGGTGGAATAGCAACCCTTCTAAGCAGTTACTTACTGTTCTGGCACATGATGCAAATAGTAGTCAGCTTCCCTTCACTCACAAGCAAAGAAAATTACCTTATGATTCATACATACAACAACAACAACAACAAAGCCTTTTCCCACTAAGTGGGGTCGGCTAATTTTCATAAGGATTCGACGTGATCATGGAGTGCCGGCTGTCGACTACCTGACGCCCTCCCCCTCCTCCTTTATCCGGGCTTGGGACCGGCAATGTAAGATACATAGGCGGAGTTTTATGATTCATACATAGCTTTATCAAATCCATTCATTTTTCTTGGCCACATGCAAATACACAAAATGCAGGCGCCGGCAGGTCTTGTGTCACGCGCAGAGCATCGAAGAAGAAGTAATCATCCATCATAATGTTATCCTCCACATTGTATTTCTCATACTATGTATATATGATCCTTGCAATATAATTCTTTACTTTGGAATTATAAATGTAGGGACCAATCTGCAAAAGAGAGGCATCAGTAGGGGACCAAATTAGATTATTGTGTTGTAATTTGTATCCCACATCCATAAGGTTGTTAATTAAATATAATCTCATCATTAAGGAAGCTCATAATTCACATGTACACCCCTATATATATACACAGACATATATGTGGGTACATATATTGTTCTAATCCGGTTGAATAGCCAAGAAAATGTCTTCCAATATCACAATTTTGCTTGTTATTTTTGCCCTCCTATGTGATGTTATGGCTTCCGATCCTGACCCGATTCAAGACTACTGCATACCGAACCCGAAATTTGGTGCCATAAGAACACCTCTTCACACCATCCTCCCATGCAAGAACTCGTCCGAGGCCACCACCGATGACTTCATCTTCTCTGGGATGAAGGTGGCCGGAAACTTCAGCGACATGGGTATCGCAGCCATCGCAGTGAACCCAACAGTCTTCCCGGGGATCAACACGCTCGGGATGTCATTCGTACGAGCTGACCTCATAGTTGGTGGAATCAATCCACCACATTTCCACCCTAGAGCCACAGAGATATCCCACGTAGTGAAGGGGAGTGTTTATTCAGGGTTCGTTGATTCAACCAATAGGGTTTTTGCTAGGGTTATTGAGCAAGGGGAGGTCATGGTGTTCCCTAGGGGTCTAGTGCACTTCCAAATGAATGTTGGCAAGAAGCCTGCTACAATTTTTGGTAGCTTCAACAGCCAAAACCCAGGAAGTCAAAGGATCCCCTCTGCCATTTTCGGGTCGGGGATAAACGATGAGCTCTTGGAGAAGGCATTTGGATTGAGTCCTAAGCAGATTGGAACGATGAGAAGAAGATTTGATCCAAAAAGTATGAGTTAGAAAGCGGGATTGAAGGGGCAATTGCTTTAGTTGAGTTGTGTTCTACGTTGATTTGCCCTATAACTGTGGAGGAGCGTTGTTAGTTATTGTATCTTGTATCAATACGGTACTTCAATCTTATTGTTTCTTGTATCGATACAGTACTTAAATGAAATTTCTGGTGCAAGAAGTTTGTAGTTCAATTAGCTAAGAGTTTTCGCCTCTTCACTTCAAGTCCTAGTTCGATTTCCGCCTCCCTGCTATCATTTGTATCAACAAAAGGAAAAAGAAATTACGTGGTGCAAAGTTTTCATTAATCTCGCTTCGAATAGCTCCACATCCAAACGTACCAAGCAACAATCCTAGTTTCACACAATTATTTCTCAAATCCAACTTTCAAAATTCAATCCCTAAGAAGCAACTGCATTATGATGCAACAATCTATAAACAGAGTTGGCCGGTACAAGATCTATCATACATACCAAACTGACTAACTGAAATTCAGTAACTCCGTATTGGAGAAATGCACAGAAAAGTTCACCCCGAGGTAGCTCGTTACGTAAGAGGAAATGTTTACTATCCGTCGGTTAAAAGTGCCTTGACAATGGTCTCGCACATCCCATCAGCAAGTGGCAACAAATGTCCAGCACCTGGTATCTCATGATAGTGGATCCATGGAAGCTGTTCAGCAATGTAGCGTTGCAGTAAAACGGGTACCATGCGATCTTCATCTCCATGCCACACGTGGACAGAAGCTTCATTGTTAGGGAATGGGTTTTCCAGTTCCAGAGGACTGAATTCCCAGGTCCCAAATCCAACATTCATGTCACGGTAAATGGACTCAAATTCTCCCTGCTGTCGTACCTGTCCCTGAGGAATCCAAATTGGAAAAAAAAGAAAAGAAAAAAAAGAATGTCATTATGCACATATTGGTAGAAATCCAATTCTACCATAAGTGAAAAGAAAAACTATACAGATAAGGTAGAGATTCAATTCTAGGGAACGGGAAAACAAAGCTTCAAAGTTCTCTCATTGTTCCACGACGAAAAGAAAAGAAAAAGTTATCATAAATCACTAGGTGCTAGATTGATGCCCTACAAGTCATACGTTCACACAGCTCTATTGAAACGATTCAACTCTAGGTAACCGTAATGCAAAGCTTTAAAGTTCTCTCATCGCTACTCCCTTATGGGAAAGAAAAAGTTAAATCTAGATTTCCCTAGGTAACAAACACCTAAAGTCATGTTTGTACAGTTCCACTGAAATGCTAGGACTAAACAACTCTTAAGAATAACAGGCAGGCTTGCAGAAATCTCAATTGCTCCAGTATAGGCTTTACAGTTCATTTGTGGGATCACGAAAGCTTTATTCTTTAGTATAAGCAGCACTCAATCAGTATCACCAGCATAATTAACCAAGTAATACCTCTGCCCGCATGCGAGAGGTCTCAAATTCAATAATGGGTGAGGAATTACCAATTAAAAACATGCTATTGAACTAACGGCTGAAAACAGGGATGTATGTAGGTTTACTTCAAAATAGATCAAGGGTATTAACTATTAACTACATCCGCAGCTTAAGCGATTCAACTTTACTTAACTCAGCATAAAATCAAGATAGGTCGTACCCAGTGCACAAGGCTCCCACTTTACGCAGGGTCTGGGAGAGGTGAATGTCGGCTAGCCTTACCCCCATTTATGGAGAGGCTGCTCCCAAGTCTCGAACCCGAGACCTACCGCTCATGGGCGAAGGCACTTGCCATCGCACCAAGTGCGACCTCTTCAGCATAAAATCAAGATGGAAAGAAAAAAAAAAAAGAATATACAGAAAATAATCTTCAAAACGTGACCACACAGATTACAATAATGGTTTTAATAATCAAACTAGCCTAATCTTTTGTTGAAAAAGTAGACTAATTTTCAAGAACTAAAAAGGTCGTACCCAGTGCACAAGGCTCCCGCTTTACGCAGGGTCTGGGAGAGGTGAACTTTTCTGTGCATTTCTCTACCTACCACAGACACCTTACGAATCAAACTAATTTTGAAATTTTGAAGCCTATTCAGTATATGTAGCATATCAATTTAGTTAACTACACTACGAATTGGTGTCATTAAATTTAAAAAAATAAAATCTAATTCTAAGGATTCCAAAATATGGAGTACATACCGCATATGGTTCTCTTTTTTGAAGCTTGGGCAGGATTTCTTTGTCTTGGTCAGAAAGACAATCTATACTTCGAGCCAGAACACTTGAACCAGGAAACCATTTTTGAGTGTTCCAGAAGTATGTAAGCCAAGGGGTGTAGTGAGACACACGAACTGCCCACTGGTCTGACTGAAGCTGTTGGGAGTAAGCTTGACTAGATAGATTTGAAGGAATACCAGTCCACCAGTAGTTTACCGCTGGAGCTACCAGTGCTGCTCCTGCGATCCTGTTACCATTCACACCTAGCATAAGTTAAAGATTTCTCCTTTCTAACACACAAACATACATACAAAACATGTTCACTTCCATTCCCGTAAAGTACTATACCTGTGAGGGATATATTTGAGGCAGCTCCAAATCACCTGTCCACCCATGGAGAAACCAATTACATAAAATCTGTGTCCTAAACCCAATTGATCAGCCAGCTCCTCTATATCTGTAGCCATACTCTTCACCGTTCGCTTTGGATTAGGATCACTTTCTCCATAACCAGGTCTGTCAAAAGACACAACGTAGATCCCCAAGTCTTTCACGGTTTCCTGGGTGAATTCACCATAGGTTAAAACGATATTACAGGAAACACTAGACATGCTAAACAAACCATAAGATAGATACCGGAGACAGGAAGTTGGGAATGACAGCATCATGCCTGCAACTATCAATACCATGGAGATAAACTATTTTATGCTGCGCATTATCTTTTGGGACTCCATGCTCTTGGTAGGCTAAATGCCTTCCATCCCTAAGTTTTATTCTTGGTCCTGTAACAGGAGGCCCATCAGGAGAGCCACATATCTTTGATGGAGGAGGTTGGATTGCCTGATATGCCCATGCCGAAAGTCCAATAACCAACGCTACTAGTGTTGTCTTAAAAATCCCTGAAATTTTTTAGGGTTTCATTGAATCACAATACAAAGATTGGAAGAAATAGCTCCAGAAACTTTCTAAAAAAATCTTTCAGCAAAAAGAAAGAAAGCACCAACTTATTCAAGTTCATACTTTGTGCATAAATTCTAATACCAAAGACATATATATTCTGCATCAGATGCATTTAGAGCAATCCTTATTGACAGTTTACAACAAATGAAAGAAAATGTAAAAACTATCACAGAAAAGGTTCTACAGTTGTACTGAATGCTTAGAAATTCCTTGTGAGTCACAGACATGCCCTATCGAAACAAAATAAAGAGTCCCAGTCCCTGATCATCGAAGTAACTTTCGAATCAAGCAGCAAGTTTGTATTTTGATATTCCATAAACCATATAGGTCATCATATTTGAGAGTATGATATATAACGGCGAAATTAAACATGGATTAAAAAATGAACATGCAATCAGCACAATGCCTTCAAAGACTTGTCAGCTTTCTGCTTATTACAAATATCTGATATCTAGCAGCGGTTATTTCAACCTCATTGTAGGGTTGGGCATTGGGAGGGTTGGTCGGGTTGGACTCCAAATTGTTGGCCAACCCAATAAGCTCGGATTGGCATTGTTGTAGCCCATTGCCACACAAGAAAATAAGAAAATGGGCAAACCAACCCACCCAAACCATTATTAGGCGGGTTGGATAAAATCTCAATGATCAAAATGCTAACACAATTGTATTTTGAAGCATATAAGATATCCATTTGTTAAATGGTTATTATGCAAGTCAACACCACCACTTTTCCACTAATTACTTCTTTTCGGTACAATGAATTGAATCGAATCATGACCTATCCTAGTTCTAACCCAACATATAACAGCCCAAGCTGAAGACACATATTAAACTCTCAACGGTGTCATTAGATTCACTACATGATGCAACAATTAATAAGTTTCAAAATTTTCATATTAAAAAACACAGAACCCTCTGATTAGTCTAGTAATGTACTCGAAAACTCAGCTAACCTAATCACAGATAATGCTTACTTAACTAAAGTTTCAAACTTTATTATAACCAAAATTATGAAAAATTCCGAACAAACTGAATTTTTATATTCCGGTCCAACATTTTCTCATCAAGCAAACAGAAATTGGTACTAACTTACAACAGAACAAGCTACAACGAACAATCGTAATCAATAATGGGAACCCTTAAATAAAACTACAAAAAAATGAAATAAAAAGGGGAAAATAAGGAAAACCCACCCGCCGGAAGCTGGAAGGAGCTGTTTTGCTTGGCTCTTCGGGTGTGAGCTCTCGCCGACGCAGCTGATATCTTCCTGTTCACTCCTCCCGCCATTTTCACCAGCACACGAGATCAATCGGAGATTCAATGGCCAGGGTTTAGTCAAATTGAGAGAGAGAGAGAGATCGGATCGAAGAGTCGTTGACGAGGCTCTGTCTGTCACTCTCTGTGTGTTGTGAGTCGTGACACTCTGTCGCAATTAGTGATGGCCGTATAAATATGGATGACATTGGAAATATCATTAGTTTAAAAATATGAAAATTTTGATGGAAATATCAGGATATTATCGATATCGATAAAAATTGAATAAAAATTATGAAAATTGTAAGAAAAACTTAGAAATTTTTATTGAAACTTTGGAGAATGTTTATTTAGTCAATTATCTATTAGTTCATCAAAAAATAATTAGAAGGAAATGCATTACATGTGGATTTAATTGATTTAAGTTGATTATACAGCGAGCTGGCAAACACTGTAAGTATAGAAATTATGTAATAATTAATGAAAAAAAGATTAAACACACCATAATTATTTATATATAATGATTTACTACAATATTTTACACTTTATACATTGCATGGTAAGATACTTGAGTGATTTAGTACCACATAAAGTTCCTATGAGGTTCAAAATTTTCACTATCTTCATCATCTCTATGTGTAGAGTAAGTTTATTGTGAAGAATATTCATCAAATGATAAATCTCTAAAATAGTTTTGCATGTAATTGTTAACATGTCACTTATATAAATATAAATATTTGAGCATATTATCACTAAAACATAAGTGATATATGGTGGTTACGGTGTTGGAGGAGTAAAATGGGAGGGGTTTGAATCCCCTTTGTGTTTTTTTTCCCTCCCTTTTTTCCCTTTTTTTTCTTTTTTTTTTCTTTTTTTTTCCTTCCTTTACATCGATATTTTCGATATTTTAGCGATATTACACCGATATTTTGACAAAATATTGCTAAAGTGTGAGCGAAATTATCGACATCGATATTTTCCGATATTATCGTCAATATTTGTACGATATGTACATGGATATGTTCCGAAATATCCATGATTCGAGAAAACCGAAATATCCTCGATATTTCGTCGATATTATCGATATTTTAGACTATGGTGATGGGCAACGGATATCGAGGCCGGGTAATTGTCTAAACGGTTATACTCATACCTATAACTGTTTATAAACGGTTAACCATATCCATAACCGTGTACCCATTTAACCGTAACCGTTTAGTACCAGTTTACCCATTTATCATTTTTAAACCCGTTTATCCTTTCTTTTTTACCATTTACTCATTTTTCACCCATCTACTTGTTTTTTTAACAACTTGAAAATTAAAAAAGAAAAATTTGTCATAATTTTCTTTTCTAACAATTAAACACCATTATAGGTACATTCATTATACATTTCCGCATTTTAATTTTTTTAAGTCCTTATACCATTATAATAATTGAAATAATAGTTTACAGACAATATTTTTAACTGTTAGCAATAAAGGTAATATAAAATTTGATAAGTATTCTTAGGTTATGAAAACTGTTAAAAGACAGTATTCTTGGGTTATTTAACTCAGAATGTAAAATATCAACATAATATATATAATGGACCATGAAATTTAAAGTGGTTAAGGAAAACTATATTATATTAGCTATAGAAATCATGCACTATAGTCAATAGCATTGATCTAAGTTTTGTCCGATAGGGAACATGGTTTGTGTTAATTTTACATATATAAAATAAATGGGTAAATGGTTACCCATTTATAATCGCGGTTAATACCCATAACCGCCCATTTAAATTTCACGGGTAAACGGTTATACCCATAACCGTTTATTTATCTAAACGGTTATCCATAACCGTAACAGTGAAATTTAAATAGGCAGGTAACCACAGTTACCCATAACCGATGGGTATTTGCCCATCCCTAGTTGAAGGAACTAATTTATATTGTTTTTATCTTTAGGCATTTAATACCGAAGTTATGCATACAAGAAGTAAAAAATGGAAATTTCAGGTGTCTAGAGTAATTCTAGTGGAGCACGAGGCTAATTAATTGTACCCATACATATGCATTACAATAAGAAGATGAGATTACAATGGTTTTGGAAATCAAATGGACATGGAATGGTATTCAATGGCTTTGAGGAGAAGACATAATTACAAGTTTTTATTATTTCTGTTTATTTCTCATTTTCTTCAATAAGGACTTAAAAGTCCATTAGAGTTAGGATTAGTGGTCATTTATTTGTTTTTTTTTTTTTCTACCTACTTTTGCAATTCTTGCCATGAGGTTTTAAAAGGAGATTCATTCTCCTTTGTTTTTAGTTAGGAAGCCACCAATCCACCAAACAAATAACATTATATTTTTACAAAGTGGGCTGCGGCAAGGAAGGATTTGAGGAAGAGCTACTTTTGAGTTTTTTTTGCTAGAGCTACGATGCAGCTTGATCATGAATGCTTGGTTGTCTTATGGCATTGTTATTATCAAGTTTTTCTTCCTTATTGAGTATCTTTTGCTATTCGTAATACCCTTGATTTTTATTTAGATGCTTAATCACCATCTAGGTTTTAGTTGAGTTGATTTGATACAAGTTAGAGTAGATGTCATACTTAACTTGAGTTTAGCTTCTTGTAATTGATACCATAAACACCTATTTGCAAATGCCATGCAATTAGGGTTTGTATGATTTTCCAACAATTTCCATAGAGCTTAATGTATTCTTACTTGTTTAAATTCATCTAGATGTCATAGAGGGTTAACATGTAATGATACTTTTGATGCAACCAGAGTGATGCCATGACCATTGAATAATTTAGAGAAAATTAATTATCAATATTGGGGAACTACTTGAGCATAATATATTAAGGGAATTAAGTAGAATTGGTTACGATGAATTTGGATGCCCTAGGTATTCTTTTCTTATGTTTTCATTTTATTATTTACATGCATTTTATTTCAAGCTTGATTCAGTTTAATTCAAAATCTCCAATCTTTTTTGTTAAAACTTCTCAATTATAATTTGTTTCAATTTAATTAGTAAGACTTTATAATCAATTCGATCTTTGTGTGACGATATTCGTGCTTAAATGTTATACTGTCATTTTATTCGTATACTTGCGAGCACTAAAATTCAAAACTTAATGAGGTTAATTTTGGTTATCTAATTTTCGCAACAAAGGGCTTTTTAGGATCTTAAAACACTTCACTAAATCCTTTAGAAGAAACAAAGACTACGTGTCTATCTCTTTAAAACAAAGAATGCATGTCTATTGTATATCTATTAAGTGTGAGAAAGGAAAAAAAAAGTTATTTCCTAAAAGAAATCATCCTATATTCCTTTCTAGTGAATAAAATAAGGGTAAATAATAGAAAAGGTCCCTGAACTATACTATAAGTTTAGTTTTCATCCCTCAACTCTTATATTAGTTTCTCTCGTCCTCCAACTTAAGTTTGTGTTGCACGAATCGTCCTTTCCGTCAAGTTTGTTACATTTTCTGTTAAATATGATCACATGCCTTGCACGTGACCTTTTTGTGGTGGGCAAATATGACATTTTGTTGGCCCAAAGGAATCTCACGTGCTATAGGATGGAGAACTCAAAAGTTTTGGGGAAGAGTTCAACTGGAGATTGAGAGCTCAGTTCTAGGGTTTGAGAAATTTGAATAGGAAATTCACTGTTATTGGCTGGGAATGCACTTTCATGATTAATTATTCACATGGCGACAACGTTTCGGTGGTCTGGAGAGCATCCACAATACAGTAAGTCTTTCCTTCATTGTTTAATTTTATATTTCATGGATTTCGTTTGGATTGTTTTTGTCTAAATATGTATTCTGTTATTCACTTTGGCTTTATATGTATGGTGGTACTCTGTCTTTTCGGTCAAATGCATTTATGTGTTGGCCTTATTACTATCTATTTTTCATCATTGCTCCAGCGTCCAGCACACCCAATATGCATATATTGGAGTTTGGTGAGTGTATTTATTGTAAGAATTTGATTTTGGTGAGTGCTCAACCTCACATTGTATATTATATATGGCAGGTGGTCTGGAGCTATGTACTCTTGAACTTAACCATTATGGGTTGGTAGAAAATGGAGTTTATAAAGGTGGCAAGGTATGTTATGTAGACAATTGTGTTGATGACTATTTGTCATTGGTAGATTTACAAAAGATTGGTGTAGAACTTGGCTATAATGTTGACATAACTCAGAAGGTTACAAGTTTGAAAGTGTACTACAAGAAACCTGGTAAGTTTGGTGCAAGTGCATTGATAGAGGTGAAAGATGATAGTTTTATTCCAGGGCTAATTGCTTGCATTCCTGGTAATAGAATTGTTCAATTGTATTATCATGATCCAATTGATCTAAACACCATTGGGAGTCAAGCTTTTGAGGTATGGCCAAGTTTGGATTCTGAAAACTATAATGGTGGCACTGATGAATTTAAGGGTCACCAATATTGGCCTTTTATTGATCGCCTAGCCAATGCCGACAATTCAGTAAAGAAGGTCAACACATATGAAGCTGCATATGTTGGTATACATGGTAATATTCAGGAATATAATGAAGATGAAGTAGAAGAGGATAATGAAAATAATGAAAAAGAAGGTGAAAATGAATAAGAGGATGAAGTATTTGTTGACAGTGATTATGGGGTAAGTGACGATGAAGAGCCAATCAATGTTGAAGAGGTAAATGGTGTGGATGCACCAAATGAAGTGTTTGATGTTAATCATCCAAATGAAGTTCTTGATTTTCATCCTCCTAATGAAGCTACAGGGGAGATTTCATCTGATGGTGAAGACATTGATATTCCTTATTCTGGTAGTGATGAAGAGGAAGGTGAACAAAACTTTAATAAATTATCTAAGAAGAGAAAAAGGAAATTACCGAGTTTTAAACAGTGGAGGAGAGACACGGATTTGAGAAATCCAGAATTTCGATTGGGAATGCAATTCGCCAATAAAGCAGAGGTGAAAGAAGCTATAAAGGAGTGGGCTATTATCAACGGACGAGAAGTCAAATTTGTAAAAGATGATAAAATTAGGGTAAGAGCAAAGTGTGTTGGAAATAAGAAAACGAAGTGCCCGTTCACTATATTTGCTTCCATCATAGATTCAGATGAGCCCACTTTTGCAATCAAGACTCTCTGCTTAGATCATCATTGTGGGAGAGTTGGTAAGCTAAAGTT